GAGAAACCAGCCATTGATCAAATTGTTGCTCCTGGTGCATTAGTCATTTACATGTTTGTAACAATTACTGTAAAAGTATGCAGCTTAAAACAACAAAGATTTGGTATTTCACACATTTTCTGTGGGTGAGGAGTCCAGAGAACTTCAGTTTGGTGATTTCAGCTCGGGGGGTCTCACGAGGCTGCAATCATGATGTCAGGCCAAAGAAAAGGCTTGATGGACATGGAAGGATCTACATAAAGGCTCATGCATGTGGCTGCTGGAAAACAGCCTCACTTCCTCACCATGTGAGTGTCGCCTTATCTGAGTGCCCACTCAGTGCAGCACGGCAAATATCTTACCCCAGAGAGTGAGCAGGAGAGATCAAGCAGGAGATCACAGCTCCTTTTGAGCCTTACTGTGAAGTGGCACAGGCACCCCAGCCTCCTCCATGAGCAGGGAGCCAGCAAGTCCAGGGACTCACAAGAGGGAAACTGGCCTTGACCTCTTGAGCATAAAAAAAAATGGTGGATATTTGAAAAACTTCTACTGTCCATCATCTGGCCACTAAATATTTATATCCTTTTGTCAAAGAGAGAGAAGTATTCTGATACCTTGTAGAGAGTGGTCAGGCTTTATTCAAACAAGCAACATGGAGAAATCACACTTAATTCCAAATACATTAAAGATCTAAGATTTAACACATCTGGAATCTTTTTTATTTTTCTGGGGATTCCTTTTCTTCCCCACTGAAGTTGAACATTTGCCAGAACCAGGCAAAATCTGCCCCTGCAGTGTGCACAGCTGGGCCCCTGCTCTGTTGCTTCAGTCTCCACTTGCTGCATTTCCATCCTGGGTCTTGAATTTGACTTGTCTCCATGTGATTCAATGGTCAACCAAGGTTTTGGACTGGATGTTGGCTTTTACTCACTTGTTCCTGGCGTACCCAAATACCCAAATGCAGCCACCAGATCTGATGTTTGATTCCTCAATTCAGTAAGATTTTTGCTTCTGGTTCTCTGAGCGTGTGTGGATTGGGAAAGTCATCAGTCTTAGGTGCAGATTCACAGATTGCACCAGGATGAGTCTGTCACTCAAGGGTAGAACGCCCTCTAAGTTCTTCCTGGTTTTCCAGCAGTTTCTCTTGAGTGTCCCACACCTCAGCACAGTTTAGTGGTCATTCAGGGATTTGACAGAGTTTGTTTTCAGATTTGGGATGTCACCTCTCCATCTGTTGTTGAAATACATGTTGCTTAAACTATCTGGATATGCCATATTTTAAGGATATACCTAAAATCCACGTATAAAAATCCATGACTTCCACACAAAGGTAATTTTATTATACATTATATTTTATTATACAATTTTATTATACAACAAAATATTGGGGGGCAGATACTGAAACTTAGGTATGTACTGTCAATATGGTAGCTACAAGCCACATATGGCTTTTAATTTAATTTAATTTTTTTTAAACAAACAGTTTTTTTTTAAAGATTTATTTATTTATTATTTATACAAGCACTGGGTACAGTCAGAAGCGCGGGAGGGTGAGAGAATTCACAAGAGCCAGAGCAGGCAGAAGGACCGAAGTACACAGCTGAGGGGAGCAGCGGGCGGCAGGAGAGGTCTGCGCACCATGTGGGACCATCCTCCAGTGGCTGGGGAGCAGCCTGGGATCGAAGGGCACTGCAGAGGCTGTGGGCAGCTTTGCAACCCAGTGCTCAACCGCTACGCCACCGGGGAGGCCCGGCTTTTTAATTTTAAATGATATATAGTAAAATATGCAATATCTCAGCTTATGAGCCACATTTCAAGTGTTCAATAGTTAGAGGCACCATATTGGTCAGTGCATATATAGAACATTTTTTCTTCCAGAACATTCTGTTGGCCAGCACAGCTCTTCATGCTTTGGGAGCATCAAGACAGATGCATTAAACACATAAAATCAAGGGGCCAATATTATCTCTTAAAGATGAGGCGAGGTCCCTGTATGGAAATAATATTAAGCAGGTGAAAAACAAAATCAAAAAAGATTATCAGTGGGTCTGGTACCTCCAGACACAAACAGTCCCAGTTCCAAATGGAAGCACCTGTCTCTCTAATTCCCTTCTCAGAGTGAGGACTCTCTCTCATCATCTCTGAGGAATGAGTTCTCTTCCAGGGTGTCCAGGGCAAAGCTCTAAGAAAAACTTTGGAAATAGGACATCCAAACCAAGGAGATGGATTCTGGGTGCTCAATAAGAGACAAAGGCAGAGAACACTTGGGAAACTCTCCCTAGTTCACTGTAAAAAGCATTTCCAAAGTAGGTCTGTGGAATCCTTGAGATCACCCAGAACCTTTCACGGGATACAGGAGGACAAAACCATTTTTATAACATTACTTTGACACCATTTGCCTTTCACTATTTTGACATTTGCTAAAGTAAAACTTAGTAAGAATGGAAATTATAGTACCAACTGCAGTGTAGTTATTCTTCACCACCACTTTCTCGCAGGAAAAAAAAAAATCCAAACCAGTTTCACTTCAAAATGTCCTGGTTAAATCACGAAAGCATATTTTCTATTTATCATCCTGAAATCCACATTTTTTACAGGTCTGAAACGATGACAAGGACGTGCACATAAGGCACTTCTGCTACAGTCTAAAGGGCCGTGTCCCAGGGAGAAAAATGTATGACATGAATTTGCCTCTTCTTTTAGGCAATATCATTTTTAATTGAAGGAATGAGTTGATAAAACCATGGTTACTTAGACTAGTTGAACTGGCAGACACTTTCCTGAAAACGAATGTGAGTCTGTCCTTTTTAAAAATCAACTGAGGGCACTTGTTGCCTTGATAAAATGTAAACTCCCAGAGAAAACCAGAATTATGGAAAATTGAGTCCTATCACTATAAACTTGACAAATTACAGTATGGACTAATTTTTCTTTTGGGATCTGTGGTAAAAAATAAAACATGTGATTTTGGATAACTTGACCCCAGTATAATTAACACTATATATTTATATAAGACATAGTGAAACAATAGGTAACTTTTAAAAAAAATCATACAATTGTACTATATCCATTAATATACAAGAGAGCGCTAGGGAGTTAATATAACAGAATAGGAAATATTCAATGACATTGTTTCAGATTTCACTTTGCAAATAACCTTTGAGAAAATACAACTTATATAGTTATGATTGAGTATGAAAGTTGTAACAAAGTTGAATATCCATAATCTGAAAAGGTTATTAAAAGACTATTCCTACATATTTCCATGAGATTGTATATTTTTTCATAGATTTCAAACAAAACATTCAATGTAGAAGAAACTATGGAAACTAAAATATCTTCTAATGAGACAAAAATGACAGTTGCAAAAATATAAAATGTAAAAGTTCCCCTCTTTTCATTATCCTTATGTTTACAGAAAGTTATTTTCTTAAAAATGCTTTGTTTGGGCCTCCCTGGTGGTGCAAGGGGTTAAGATGCAACCTATGAAGCTGCCTGCAGCCACTGCAGCATGAGTTCAATCCCTGGCCAGGGAACTACCCCACATAGTGCAGCAGACCTCTGCAGCCTAGCCCCCTGCTCCCCTCAGCAGTGTGTTTCAGTACATCTGCCTGATGTGCTCCCCACTCCGTCTGTGGTCAATCCTCTCACCCCAAGCATCTCTGGCCTGCACCTCAGCTCTTCTATGCTTAAGTAAATAAATCTTTAAAAAAATGCTTTGTTGGGCCTCCCCGGTGGCGCAGCGGTTGAGCGCTGGGTTGCGAAGCTGCCTCTGCGGCGCCGGTTCGATCCCTGCTCCCCGGCCACTGGAGGAGGGTCCCACATGGCGCGCAGACCTCTCCTGCTGCTCCCCTCAGCAGTGTACTTCGGCCTGCTCTGCTCCCCGCTCTGGCTCTGGTGAATTCTCTCGCGCTTCTGACTGTACCCAGTGCATGTATAGTAAATAAATGCCTCTATAAAAAAATGCTTTGTTAGCATACATTGGTTATTAATATTCTAAAGTAAGAAAGTAATACCATCTTAAAAGCCTTTATTCTAGTAAATATTTAAAGCTGTAACCCACATAAAAAAATACGCATGGGATCCGTAATAATTTGTGAGACTGTAGAGACATCCTGAAAGAAAAATGTTTGAGATTGCTGACCCATTTCCTGGGCCTGGACTCGGGGAGAAGGTGTGGGTGTTTCAAAGGTTCTGGTGCAGGAGAGGAGGGGTCTCGGGGTGTGGCTGTCAAGGTCTCAGTCCCCAGGGCGCTGTCTGGGGCGGGAAGGTTACTGTTGGGGATTCCTCATCTCCCCAGTTTCACTTCTTCTTCTTTTTTTTTTTTGAATACTTTAAAATTTTTATTTTGAAATAATTGTAAACTCAAACAGATTCTCACAATAGTAACAACTTGCTGTATTGTACAATATTACAACCAGGAAATTGATATGGATATAATCCGTTGACCGTATTCAGATGTCACCAAGCTTTATACTTCCTTATTTGTGTGCTATTGGGTATTTATGTTATTCCATGCAAATTTCATTACTTCTTGCATCTTGCCACCACCTACAAGATATGGACATGTTACATCACCACAGGGCTCCCTCCTATTACTCCTAAACACTCCATCCGGTTTCGCTTCTTACAGCCTAGGTCGAGTCCTTCCTCCTGGATACTGGTGACTCACCCCAGGGCTCACTCCCCATTGCCTGGAGGTCTCCAGAGCAGCCAATAAGCAGCCCCGCGGCTCCCGTTCCAACGCCCTCCCCACCCGCCGGGACTCCGTCTCCCCAGCCCGGGTGGGGGCGCGTCCTGGGGGATGGGGGGCGCAGCCCTCCTGCTCCTGCTCGCGGTGGCCGCGGCCCCGAGGGAGACCCGGGCGGGTGAGTGCGGGTCGGGAGGGGACAGGGCGCTCCCAGAGGCGGGAGCGAGGGCGCGGGCGGGCGTGGGAAAGGCGCGACCTCGCCGCCGCCCTAGGTGTCCCCCCACCTCGGCCCCGCCCCGTCCTGGCCCCTTTCCGTCCCCCGAGACCCCAGCCTCCTCTGGCCCCCCGAGTCCCGGCCATTTTCGTCCCGCAGCCGCTTTTCACTCTCGCTCGTCTTTCACCCACTTTCTGTCTCGTGGGCGCCCCCCGGGACTCGAGCCCCCGAAGGGGAGAAGAATAGGCCGGGTCTCCCCTCCCGCCCCTAGGCCCCCACTCCATGAGGGTTTTTCACACCGCGATGACCCGGCCCGGCCTCGGGGAGCCCCGGTACATCGCCGTGGGCTACGTGGACGACACGCAGTTCGGGCGGTTCGACAGCGACTCCCCAGGCCAGAGCGCGGAGCCGCGGGCGCCCTGGGCGGAGAGCTTGGGGCAGGAGGAGCGGGACGAGGAGACTTGGCACCAAAGGGACAACATACTATGGTACGGAGCGCAGCTGGACACCCTGCGCGGCCTCTACAACCAGAGCGAGACCGGTGAGCTGGCGCGGGTCCGGGCCGGGTCAGCACCCCCATCCCCACGGACGGGGGGTCGCTCAGGGTCTCCCCCTCCAGGTTTCTCTGCAACCTGCCCGGGAATAGAACGCGGGGCTTTCACCCCGTTTCATTCTGGACAGGCTCTCACACCCTCCAGAGGATGTCTGGCTGCGACATGGGGCCCGACGGGCGCCTCCTCCGCGCGTACAGACAGTTCGCCTATGACGGCGCCGATTACCTGGCCCTGAACGGGGACCTGCGCTCCTGGACCGCGGTGGACACGGCCGCTCAGATCACCCAGCGCGAGTGGGAGGCCCGGGGTGAGGCAGAGAAATTCAGGAACTATGCGGAGGGCAAGTGCTTGAGGTGGCTGCGCACATTCCTGGCGCACGGGAAGGAGACTCTGCAGCGCACGGGTAAGAGGGGCCTGGAGGCCTCCTGGTCCCCCCCTGCCTGGAGTCACTGCGGGAAATGAGTCCTCTCTCCAGTCCCGAGAGGGGGACTCCCCTGGGTTCCATGTTCTGCACGAGAGAGACTCCCAGAGACTCCGGCTTCTCCTGAAGGACAGTGAAGGGATCCCGTCTCTCCTGAGAAAGACAGACAGTCCCTGACACCACACGTCACCGGGTCCTTTTGACCAGGGGCCTGTTTGAGAACCACGAGTTTCTCTCTCAGTCTTGTTTCTGGTCTGAGAACATTTTCAGTTATGTGATTCCTGCTTTTCTGTGTCATTCACCTTCCACCCAGGTCAGGAATAAAAAGTCTGTGTTCCACTCCCTCTGCTTCATCCTACCCTGGGTTTTCGTCCTCATTCTAGAACTTTCTAAGGAATAGGAGAATCTCACAGATTCCCCAGATTAGCCTGTTTTTTACATTTTATGCTTCTTCCTGCCACACCAGTTGTCTTGTCCATTGTGAGGATGGTCTCATGAGGATTCTTCAGTGTCCATGGAGGAAATATAAAGTGAGTTTTCTGATTTACCACCTCAGATCCCCCAAAAACACGCATGACCCACCACCCCACTTCTGAGCATGAGGTCACCCTGAAGTGCTGGGCCCTGGGCTTCTACCCTGCGGACATCACCCTAACCTGGCAGCGAGATGGGGAGGACCTGACCCAGGAGATGGAGCTGGTGGAGACCAGGCCTGGGGGAGATGGAACTTTCCAGAAGTGGGCGGCTATGGTGGTGCCTTCTGGAGAGGAGCAGAGATACACGTGCCACGCGCAGCATGAGGGGCTGTTGGAGCCCCAAGTCCTGAGATGGGGTGAGGAGGAGGATGTGGGCACTGAGGCTGTTCTCAGGGCCATCAGGAGCCCTTCTGGAGACCTTCAGGGGGTCAGGATAAGGTCTGGGGCTCAGGGTATGATCTTCCCTTCCCTTCCAGTGCCCCCTCCTCAGTCCTCCATCCCTACCTTTGGCATCATTGCTGGCCTGGTTCTTCTTGGAGCTGTGCTCACTGGAGCTGCAGTGGCTGCAGCTGTGATGTGGAGGAAGAAGCACTCAGGTAGGGAAGGGAGTGGGGGATCTTGTCCACCGAGGGCTTTCACGTCCCAGGGAGAACTTGCCCTGCCTGGTTAATGGGAAGTACCATCCACACACACGTGTGTTGCCCAGAGGGCATTTGGTCCAGTCCCCCCTCATGTCCTTTCTTCTTTTTTCCCAGTTCTGACCTGGGTTTTTCTTTACTCACAGTTCTGAAAACTTCCCTGTTGTGCAGGATTAAAAGATTCCTTTAGGTCTTCTGACCTGACTGCTCCCTGGTCTCACATGATGTTTCTTCCCACAGGAGGACAAGGAGGAAGCTACAGTCAGGCTGCAGGTAAGTGTGGATCAGGGGTTTGAACCCTGAGCCCCTGGGAACAGTATAAATGGACTCAATGGGGAGTCACCCTCATCAGTCCCTCCTGTGGTCTCATCTCTGACCAAGTTCTGTTTTGTTCTCAACCAGGCAACGACAGTGTCCAGGGCTCTGATGTGTCTCTCAGCCCCTAAGGATCTTTTACAATGAACCCGATGAGGCTCCTGTTGTGCACACCCTAGGCAGCAGGGCGATGATGTCACTGTTGTTCTTAACTGTGATATTGAGCATTTGTTCATATTTTTACTTTTCTATGACTACAGTTGCTGTTTGTATGGAAGTTTTGTACATTTTTATAGAGGAAGTGCTATCTATTTATTTATTACACTATTTTGTCCTTATTAATATTAGGTTATTTCTTTCTGATCATTGAGTTTTAGGCATTATGTGTAGATACAGTCCTTTATCAGATTCGTGACTTGCAAATGTTTCCCCCCCACACTGTGACCTGAACTCCTTTACTGATGGGAAAACAAACACTATTGCCCAGACAGGAGCATGGAGATTAAAAAAACATAGACACACACACACATATATATGCGTGTGTGTGTGTGTATATGTGTGTGTGTGTATTTTTTTTTTTTAGAAGAGAAAAGATAAATTGCTAACTGGTTTTGAGCAGATACTGGCTCACTGGGGTGTTGGGGGTGGAGGGGAATGACTTATGCATATCCTTGAGTGTTATTTAAATGTCCTTGTATGAGCATGAAATATGCTTTCTAAAGTAAATTACACTTCATTCCTCAAGTTATAAAACTCTTCACACATCATGACCAAATCATGTGTTAAGACCAGACTGACATGTGGGTTACAAGTGATGAACCCGCACATCATAGTTACAAAGTCATGGTTTCCCTTTGGGTTCACTCTGGTGTTGTCAGTTCTCAGGGTGTTGAACAAATGTATTATGTGTAGATACAGTCCTTTATCAGATTCGTGATTTGCAAATGTTTCCCCCCACACTGTGACCTGAACTCCTTTACTGATGGGAAAACAAACACTATTGCCCAGACAATACCTGTGTCCATCATGAGAATATCATGCAGAATATTTTCACTGCCCCTAATGTCTTCTGTGCTCCAAGGAAGCAAAAGCAAAAAAAAAAATGGAATCACATCAGACTAAAAAGCTTCTATGTAGTGAAGGAAACTATCGTTAAAATGAAAAGACAATATCAAATCGGAGAAACTATTTGCACATCATCAATCCAACAAGAAGTTAATATCCAAAATCTACAAAGAATTCCAAAACAAGAAAAAAACTCAAAGCAGGGCAGAGGAGCTAAATAGGTACTTTTCTAAAGAAGACAGACATGTGGCCAATAGGATAAATGTTTGTCATCATGTGCTGTCAGGAAAATGCCAATTAAGACCACAAGGAGTTACCACCTCACACTGTGAGAATGACCCACTGAAGGGTGTGGAGGAAAAGGAACTCTGGCACATGGTGGGTGGGAATGATGTCTGATCCTGTTAGCAGGCTGAATGAGGGGTTCCCTGTACCCTCAAAACTACACAGTCTACATGGGGTCTGCCATCAGCTGCATAAAGACAAAACATAATCTAAAGTGTAAGACCTTCAATAGAAAAGAACTTTAATACAATTAGTATAAAATAGAGAATCAGTGTGCAATAGAGAGAGAGAGAAGAGAAAGAATATAGTTAGAATAGTTCCCAAGTGAAGCATCCAAAGTTACCTGTCCCCTCATGGGTAAGTGCCCAGCCAAACAGGCTTGCCCAAAGCAGGCCCACTGAGGCCCGAAGGCCTGCCACAAGGCTAAAGCACCTACTGGTAGAGACCCATGGGACAGGGCAGGAGGGGCCAGGCAAGTCTGGAAGGACAAGAGCAAAATAAAAATCCACATCAAGATAACAGCTGCCATTGTCAGCTTCCCCATGGGCCTCCCACCCACATCTTTGTCTCTTTCATGTGTCTCTTTCCATGTCCTCAATTCCCTGGCACAAGTCCACGTCTGAGGAACAAGCCTGGCTTCTTCTTCACATGTCTCTCTCTCCATGCTCCTCCTCCAGTCTTCTTTCTGCATCTCACTCCACATCTTCCTCCTCTTCCTTAGCTTCTCATCCCTGCTCAGCCCCACCTTTCCTTGGGTGGGGCGGTAACCTGGAACCTTTCTTTTCTATGGATAGCACAAAGGTCCTGCTACTATAGGAAAAAAAAAAAGAAGGTTCCTCAAAATGGTCAAGCATCCCATTCCTTGGTATTTATCCAAAGAAGGTAAAAACACTAATTCTGAGGAATATGCGCCTCCTCTGGTCACTGCAGCACTGTCCACCATAACCAAGCTATGGAGACAATGTAAGTGCCGAACGGCAGATGAGGGGATAAAGAACACAAGCTATATGCACAATGGAATACTATTTGGCTGTGAAAAAGATGAAATATTGAATTTGCAACAACATGGATAGATATGGATGGGATTATGCTAAGTGAAATAAGTTTGAAGGAGAAAGTTAAATACTGGATGATTTCATTCATATTTGGAATGTAAGGAAACAGAGCAGGGACAGACTAAACCAAAACATAAACTAAATCAAAACATACTCTATATACATGACTGCAGAGTTGAAGCTATGGGCTGGGGTAAGAGTAGGAAACAAAGTAGGAAGAGGGCCAATGGACTATGGTGAAGACTATGCGTGCCCTTAGGGTGGGTGTGATGTGGTAACAAACATCTGAAGAGGCTTGACCCTTGTCTCTGAACACATACAGTGTGTAAACCAATGCTAATCTCAACTGAATAATACAATGAGGGGAAAAATAAAAAAAGTAAATTATCTCCTCTCTCAGTCACTGACCTCTGGACTTTGCCTTCGCCTCCTCACTGTCATGCAGGCTGAGGGGCTGTTTTCCCACAAGGTCAGAGGCAGGAGGTGCAGGGATTTCTGGGGCTGCTCAAACCCCGCTGAGTAGAGACACTGCAGAGAGGGCGGCTCTGAGAGGAAGAGAGACAGAGGGTCAGAGTAATCCCAGTGCTGAGTTGAGGATCTGGTTCCCAAGAAGAGGGGAGTGCATGTGTGCATGTGTGTGTGTGTGTGTGTGTGTGTGTAACAGGAATGAAGGATACACAACATAAGATGATGGGAAGTCAATTAACATCAAGCCCCGGAATAAATTAATTCAAATCACATACAGAGTAAAGAGTGTACCTCAATAAATACAGTTCCATGGAGAAGCAGCTTCTGAGTAGGACTGAAAAAGCATTGGACCTGAAGAAGAGGAGGAGGTTTAGAAATATCTCATGGTTGGCTTGAGGTGTAAAGAGCTGGGCAATACCCCTCCCCCCACCCTGGCCCCTGCTGGATGTGGTGGCATCTTCACCCCTGACAGCTCCCTCCCCCAAACCTAAACATTCATCTCCTTTGGAGACACCTGTATATGTACATATATGTATATGTGTAATCCCAGCTTCTTCTTAATCTCCCACCTGTCTGGGGCATTTAGGTGGTTCCCATAGCTTGGCTACTGTAAATAGTTCTGCAGTGGTGACGGGAGAGCAGGGTCCCTTCACAGGAGAGTATTTATCCTCTGTGAGGAGATCCTCAGAGTGGAATTGCTGGGTCCAAAGGCAGAACCACATTTACTCCTTTAAGAAACCTCAATACTGTTTCCATAAGGGCTGGCTCAGTCTATATCCAAAAACAGTGCAGGACTGTCCCCTTTTTTCCATATCCTTGCCAGCACTTGAGTTTCTGGTCTTTTGGACATGGGCCATTCTCACAGTGTGAATTGATTTAAACCAGGGGATCATAAAGGCACAAAATGTGGGCAAAAAGAAATCCTGTAACACTCAGGCCAACACAAGGCTGTCTCACACTGTGAAAGAAAATAATCATGAAGAAATTCAGGTGAATGACCTGAGTGTTAACATTATCAATGGTCCACTGCATTCTCAAGATGTCCCTGAAAGCATCCCCATCACCTAGTGCCAGCCTCTCTGCCTCAACCCCCACCCCCACTGCAGTCCTCCAGGGTCTCACCTTTAGGGGCTGAGATACACTTCTTAGCACTGGGACTATGGCTGCCTGGGGGAGAACACAACAAAGCTTGGTCAGAGATGAGACCACGGGAGGAACTGATGAGTGTAACTTCCCCATGGGCTCCAACTACACTGTCCCCAGGGGCTCAGGGATCCAACCCCTGATCCACTCTTACCTGCAGCCTGAGTGTAGTTTCCTCCTTGTCCTCCTGTGGGAAGAAGCATCATGTGAGACCAGGAAGGAGTCAGGTCAGAAGCATCATGTGAGACCAGGAAGGAGTCAGGTCAGAAGCTTAAAAGAATCTTCTAATCCTGTACCACAGGGAAGTTTCCAGAACTGTGAGTAAAGTCCCAGGTCAGGACTGGGAAAAATGAAGAAAGGAGGTGAGGGGGGACTGGACCAAATGCCCTCTGGGCAACACCCGTGTGTGTGGATGGTACTTCCCATTAACCAGGCAGGGCAAGTTCTCCCTGGGATGTGAAAGCTCTCAGTGGACAAGATCCCCCACTCCCTTCCCTACCTGAGCACTTCTTCTATACCCTCACACATAAAGCTACCTTTAGTGTAATCAGCACACCTACAAAGAAAACTGAGCTGGAAATGAGGACCATGGCAAGGATGGAGAACTGAGAACTCCTGGAAAGGAGCAGAGACACACATGCCCTGTGCAGTATGAGGGGCTGCTGGAGCCCCAAGTCCTGAGAAGGGGTAAGGAGGGGGATGTGGGCACACGGCTGACTCAGGGGCATCAGAAGCCCTTCTAGAAACCTTCAGAGGGTCAGATTGAGGCCTCAGGTTCAGGGTCTGACATTCCCTTCCCTTCCAGTGCCACCTCCACAGCTGCCCACTTCTGGAAGTTTCCATTCCCCCCTCCCTGGTCTGGAGTTCACCAGCTCTGTGTGCTGGGTCAGGTCCTCCCCATCTCGCTGCCAGGTCAGCGTGATGTCCGCAGGGTAGAAGCTCAGGGCCCAACACCTCAGGGTGACCTCATGCTCAGAGATGGGGTGATGGGTCATGTATGGTGATTGGGGGGCCTGAGTAGGAAGAATCAGAAATTTCATGCTTTGTGTTTCCTCCATGGACACTGAAGCAGCCTCATGTGACCATCCTCCAGTGGACAGAACAGTATGCTTGGAGGGAGGAGCACAAACCCCAGAAACCAGCCTGGTCTGGGAGTCCGGGAGAGCAGGTGAGAGCCCAGGGTGGGATGCAGGTCTCTGAGCATTTTGTTGCTGACTTGGGTGGAGGGTGATGACACAGACAGGCAGGAGGGAGATCTCCAAAAATGCTCTCTCACCAAAAAACAAGATCTCGAGAGAGAAACTCGTTGCTCCTAAGATGGCTGCTGGTGAAAAGGGTCCTGTGCAGGGTGATTTCAGGGGTGGTCTCCCCTCTTTCTCAGGAGAAACTGGATTCCTTAACTGTCCTTCAGAAAAAGTAGGAGCCTCTGGGCCAGTCTCCATCCCAGAGCTGGAAAACGTGGCCGACAGCTCCCTCTCTGGCCAGAAGGGGGCGCTTTCTCACCATGATTCCATTTCCCTGCGGGGTGCGCGCCTCAGGGAGATCAAAGCCCCGCAGCCCCTTTTCAGCCCCGCCCTTCAGTCACCCCGTGGTCTCCCGCCCGCACCCGATCTCCCGCCCTGAATAATCCTGAACTTAAATAAAACCTAAAGGGTGAAAGTCCCGCGGGCTCTTCCCTGGTCAAGGGGCCTGGCAGGGGCCACGGCCTCGGGGGTCACGGGGCCCCGAGACTCGGGGCGGGGGGTGGGGCGGGAGCGGTGACCCGCCCCGGCCCGCGCTGCTCCCCGGCCCGGCTCTGGCTGCGGCGGCCGCGCGGGGCCTCCAGGAGCGCTTGGAGCCTCCGCGCCGAGTGTCTGCGGAGCCGCGTCTCCTCGCCCGACCCTCCCGCCCCGCCCGCCCGCCCAGGGGCCCGCGGCTCCGCGCTCTGGCCCGGGGAGTCGCTGTCGAACCCCGAACTGCGGGTCGTCCACGTAGCCCCGCGATGCACCGGGGCTCCCCGAGGCCGGGCGGGACATCACCATTTCTAACACCCTCAGAGAGGGGGAGCCTGGGGGCGGGGAGGGGTGAAAGCCGGGCGGACCCTCCTCCCGGGGCAGGTCCTGAGTCCCGGGGAGATGGGGCAGGGGAGAAAGTGTCCAGGAGGGAGGGAGCTCCAGAGACTGAACATGGGCAGCGGGTCCAGAAGGGGCAAGACTCAGGGGACAAAAGGAGGAGGCAGGTGGGGGGACAGAAAGGGACTAGGACTGAGGGGCGCCACGGGGGTGACAGAGGGGCCTAAGGCAGCTTCCTCTGCAGAAGCCTTTTCCCTCCACCCTGCTCTCACCAGCCCAGGTGTCTGTCTGGGCCAGAGCCCTGGAGAGAAGCAGCAGGAGGAGGTTGGGGGCCCCATGACCAGCACTCATTTTCAGGACAATGTCTGCTAATTAACCAAATCAAATAGCCACAGATTTTGTCATTCATTCCTTCATGTGAAGATGGTATTGCCTACAAAAAAGAAAAATAGTCCAATTCATCTCATGCAAATATTTTTCTTGGCACATAACAGCTGGGAACGCAGCAGGAGTGTTGTGTGTGCACTTGCGTGTCATCGCATCAGGTGCTGTAAAATGTGGATTTGAGGATGACAGAATAATGAAGATGACTTTTTTTTTAGAGAGTTAAGAAACTATTGTATTCTGGGGATCGCTGATGGGGAGGGAAGCCCAAAAGGAACTGTGAGCAGGATGGCCTTCCCCCAGCAGGTCTGCGCAGCTGGCAGGGCATGGAAAGGCGGCTGGGGAGCGGCCTCAGTTGGGGCTAGAAGCAGGAGAGCTCGTCCTGCCGGGTCCTGCTGGTCTGAGAGCTGGACAGGGACGGGGCTTGTTTTCGTGGGGGAGGCTCCCAAAGACTCGAAGGCGCATGAAGTCTTCCTCGCCCACTTGAACCTTGATGAAGAAGTTCCTCCCGGGGCGAACAGCTGGCTCTTGAACTCCACAGCCTTGAACCTGGGGAATGTCTGGTTCTCCTTCTCTTCCAGCTGGGCCTTCCCCTGGTCGGCGATGGCCTGGGTCTCGGCGCGGGGCTGCGGGGCAGCGGGCGCGGACAGGAGGCGGTTCCTGCGCTGAGGGGGCTGGGGCCCAAGATAATTTTTAATACTTTAACCAAGACACTTTGAAATGGAACTGGCTTGGAGATGTGTTTCTGAGGTAAGTAGTTGTGAAGAAAAACTGCAGTTAGTAATATAAGCTCCATTTTCAGTAATTTTTACCTCAGCAGATGGCAAAATAGTGAAAAAGCCAATGGTGTCTAAGTGACGTTTAGAAAATAGTTTTGACCTCGTGGCTCCTGTGACAGGCTCTGGGTGACTTCAAGGATTCCACAACCACACTTTGAGAAATGCTTTTCTCAGTGAACCAGGGAGCATCTCCCTAGTGTTCTCTGCCTTTGTCTCCTCATCACTTCCCAGCATCCCTCTCCCTGGCTGGCTCCTGCCTCCCCAAGCTGCCTCCCCTGCAGATACAATGGCAGCAGAGAGAGGACCCTGGAGACATGGAGCTTGCACTGTCGTGAGAGATGGACACTGAGTAAAGGTGACAAAGACACGTGTAAACCCGACCTGAGCCACGTGCTGGAAGGAGTGTGTTTGTTGTGAAAGCAGAGAAGCAGGAGACCTCACACTATTATCAATAGTATCAGAGATGTAAAAAAAATATTAAAAACAGGGCCTCCCTCGTAGCATAAGGTTTAAGTCTGAGTGCTAACACTTCTTAGATCTGAGTTTGATCCCCGGCCAGGAAGCAACCCACAGAGGGCAGCAGACCTCTCCTGTCTCACCCACCCATCCCCTCAGCAGTGGATTTCAGTAGATTGGCCAGTTCTGCTCCCTCCTCTGTGTCTGGTGAATCCTCTCACCCTCTGCACCTCTGACCTATACCCCAGTTCTTATATGCATAAATAAATAAAAAATGAATCTTAAAAACAAACAAAGAAATAAATTACATGCAGCATCAAGTACAAGATCCATCTCAGACCCAGCAAACAGCAGAGGCTGGGGACCCAGTGGTGGTGTAGGTGAAACAACACACAATGGGGGATTCAGTCAGCTGGAGTCAGGCTTTGTTGTCAAATGAGTTTGATGTAAACTAGAGAGGGTCTGTCTGCCATCCAGCGCTGCCAGGCCAGGAAGTCTGGGCTGGTCTGCAGCCCCAGCCAGTAGTCAGGCACCACCTAAGAGACTCAAGGGATAGCTTTTAAGTTTGGCTTAATCTAGCCCTTTGTTTAATTACTCTATATCCATACCTAAGTGACATATTTGTCTTTCTCCTTTGGGCTTATTTCCATTTGCTCTATCCATGTTGCCCCAGATGGCATTAGTTCATGTTTCTTGATGATTAGTATTCTATTACCTATGTACCACCCCTTCCACAGCTTGGCTACTGTAAATAGTGCTGCAGTGATCAGGGGGGTGCAGTTTTCCTGTGAAGTAGTGTAACATCCTCTGCGGGTGTGCTGGCGCCTGCCGCCCTAAAGGGAGCCGGAGTCTCTGAGAGCACCTGCTTACTCTGCACAGGAGGTTCCAGGAGGTTAGAAGTTCTGCAAACAGAACTTCTTCCCCAAATGAACTCCTGTTCCCTGAGGACATGCTGACTTGTGGCATGATCCCTACTAACTAGAAAAACTTGTTCCTGCAGTAACTTATTCATTTGTATAAGCATAAACACAATTGCAAACTATTTCCTTATCCCTTTGTTCATATCTTTAATAAGAGCTTGGGTTGGGAAAGTGAGAGGCAGAGCCGCCCTAGAGGTCTCTCCCCAGCCTCCCCCTGCTGCTAATTCATTTAGACTTTGAGTCTTCCTTCATAGCTGAGAACTTCTCATGGGCTGTTGAGGCAGGGTAGATACGTTGGAATGGGCCTGCTGGGTCCTATGGCAGGTGCTCAGTTAATTTTCTAAGAAACCTGGTCACCATTTTCCAGCAGGGCTGAACCAGTCTACATTCCCCAAAATAGTGCAGGACTGTTCCCTTGTCTCCATGTCCTGCCAGCTCTTGTTATGTCTGGTCCTTTTGATATGGGCCCTTCTCACAGGTGTGAAGTGGTTTCTCATTGTGTTTTAAATCAGGGGATCTTGAATCAAGAAGATGGGGTACACTTCACTCCAGTGAGAAAGCCCACATGAAAAATGAAAAAAACAGAAACAACAAATGCTGGTGAGGATGTGGAGAAAAAGGAACTCTCCTATATTGCTGGTGGGAATGCAAACTTGTCCAAACATTATTCAGAGCTGTGTGGAAGACCCTCAAATTACTAAAAATGGATCTACCTAATGATCCAGCAATTCCATTCCTAAGAATCTACCCAAAGGACACAAAAACACTAATTCAAAAGGAAAACGGCACCCCTATGTTTATTGTAGCACTATTTATAATAGGTAAGATATGAAAACAACCCAAATGCCCAAAAATAGATGACTGGATGGAGAAGATGTGATACATATACACAAGGAAAACTATTCAGCAATCATTAAGATCATCCTCAATCCACAGTCTAAAATATCTGCTGTGCTGACCTGGAAGTACAAATGGAGTCTTCTGCATTCCCAAGCACTGTGTCCTGGCAATGGGGTGGTCCCCAGGAAAGGGGGTTTCTGGTTTCTTGCCCCACCCAAGAGAGGTTGGAGCTGAGCTGGGAGAGGAAGAAGCTGCAGAAGGGATGGAGGAAGGAAGGAAGCAAGATGGAGCTAAAAGGAAACCTGGAGGAGACACGTGGAACTGACAGACATGTGGACAAATTGCTCTTGCCTTTTGGTCGTGGACTGGGTGACACAGATGTGTGTGACAGACCCGTGGGGAGGTGACAATGGTGGTTCTTTTCTTGATTTTGCTCTTTTCCTCCCAGACTTGTCTGGTTGTTTCTGATCCTTTCCTGTGGGTTCCCACTGAAAGGTGCTTTGGACTTGGGGCAGGCTTCTGGGCCTTGCTCTGGGCCAGTTCCATTTGGGTGGACTTTGTGTGCATAAGATTATCCTCAAATCCACATTCTAAAATATCTGGTATGCAGGGAGAAGGGCACCCCAGACCCCACAAACCTGCCTGCTCTAAATAGGTTCTGCCATCGGCTGCGTCAATACAAAACATATGAGATTTT